TGTGTTAGTGTACGCGCAATGGCGGCGCCGTGTGTTTACAGTTGATACGCTTCAAGTGCCTGTGACGTCACCGGTATTGTATGTACATGCAACATAGCTGCCATGTGTTTTGCCTACATATCCGGTGACGTCACGCATTCGCTCGCCACATCATTTCGAAATGAATTGCCAGTAGTGCTTACTTTGAGGAATAAATGGATAAATACCTGGTGTAAAGTTGTGGAAAGTGTTCAAAAAGATAGGCGAGATGTCCATGTTGATAGATAAGTGTTAAAAAGCCCGATCATTTTGCGTTTTGGTGATAAATTTTTGGTTAGACCAGTTGGAGCATTTGGTGTCTTTACATCTATGGCAGAATGTGCTATAGCCCTGCGGCAGCTATCCGCGAGCTATAGTACTAGAGCTATGACAGTGTCTGCTGTCACATTCACTGGCAGCAAGAACAAGTCCGCACCTGCATCTATTGACTATATATAACAACATGGTGCCTAACTCGCCGCCGCACGGACCACAACTCACCCACAGGCACTTGAAGCGTTTCAATAAAATATAATGCTAAATAAATACGAAATCTAATACTAGTACTACAAAATTCTTAATGTTTCTGTACTCTCCTTCACCTATTATTTCCGACAGTTTCCTGTAAATTCAGTGTAAATGCTCTATGCACACCCACTACCCGGCCGCCATTGCCGACGGTGCACAGTGACAGTTAAATATATAGCAGGTAGCAAAGCGCTCGACTCGAATCCGCCCGACGCTCGATGGATTTCACACGATTACAACACAAAGACAGTATTAGTGTGTATTGTATTATCATAATGATGTATTGCATAAACCTGCTGTTGTTTTTGAGTATTGTTGCAACGTTAAACATTATAACACCTTATTACATTTACATCTAAAATTAAGGCCAGAACGGCATATAAATCATATTAAATCGAAACTAATTCAGAACAATGATTTAAACATTTCAGGGTTCGACAAAGGGCAAGCAGGCCACTAAAGGCCAAAAGCAGATTGTAGAAGAGAACAAGTCCACATTAACATTCTACATATATTTGAGTGTTGCCATAACAGTAGGTACTAGGTAGCACAATTGTGAAAGCCCTGCCTAACATCTTGTCACATAACATTTCTATGTAAATCTATGTAAATAACATGATTTACCAGCGATTTCCGCATGCCATGCGTGACCCACTTCTGCCTCAAGTAATGACTGTTGTTCCACTATTAATAGCCATTTACTATATAGCCAATATAATCTGAAACATGTTGGCATTTCAAGTTACGTGCAAAAGTGCTATTTATTCCCGTGTATCAAGATACTACAGTCTATTATTCCTTGTTTATTGGTGATAATATATAGTAATGGTATTGTGTTGTTAACGATAACGTAACGGTTAACATTAGAATGATATTTTTGACAGGTTGCCTACCTTCTGTTGACATACATATTCTTCTGGGATTCGTTTACCACATATTATCAGGTTTGTGTTACATACGAAAGAAGCTGAGAATGTTTGTTAATTTCAGCACGGTATTGTCTTAGCTCTCCGCAGTACGCAATTTATGTCCATGGGGTAAAATGTAGTGAATTCAGGGACCAGTAACTTTGGAACAGGGCAGCTAATTTTTATGGTTGTTACTATAGGTTATATAGCAACATGTGTGAAATCGCGACCGTCTAGCCTTTCAGACTTATTTCAGAGACTGCTTATATAATGTGTGCGTTGATAATTACCCAAATTAACGGTTAAAAATTTGAAATCGTACTCGCCGTTCTCAGGTGCTGTGGATGCTGACATGTGCGGTCTACGCCGGCTCGTATCGGACAATGGCATACATGGCCAAGGCAGCATACTCACCGACGGGCCAACTGCTGGATGGTGGGATCGATCTGAACATGGAAGCCGGGTTTGGAGAGTGAGTAGTGTAACGTTAGGTCGATGTAAACAAAGAGAAAGGACGTCTGGCTACTCTATTGTTGCAATGCAGGACTTACTCAACCCGCTCAGTCCTTGTGTTTTAAGGCGCGCGATCGCGCTCTTCGCGCGCCATCGCGCGCTCTCGATCGATCAGGAGAAGTGCGAAAAAACGCGCATCTAGCATTATCAAAACGCACACTTCGATTCGTTGTTTGTTTTTTCATATAATTCAAACTTATAACTCGAAAGATCAACGAAACGGTGTGTAATACATACGCGACATTGCGGAAGTCGGTTCACAATGTTTATGACACGACATTGTAACGCTTATAGCCCGAACAGCAGTCTTTAACATATTCATCCCCCATCAATTTATTTATCACTGGCGAAAGCTGGACGATGCTTGACTATCTGTATTTCTTCGTTACACACTGACACGTATACACGACCTCTCGACGGGTCGTAACTCACAAAGCCTAACTGAACTGCGTGGACTGCTTTGCAGCCCGGACCGCCACAAAAACCATAAACGCTAAACAAGTCCGGCCGTATCATACGCGAGCAATACATGAGTGAAACTGGGAGACTGTTACTGTATTCAATCATAGGCTAGCAGCAGATCGAGAACTGGTGATGAAGAATGCAGCTGACAATGAAAAATTAAAAAGCCTGATTAAGGTTTTTCAGTGAAGTTTTATTGGCAAAACTGTAGGTTTTCTTGCAAATGAACTGAAATACCTCAAATTGAGACAAAAATGCAAACAAGTGGACTGAATGGATTATGATGTTGGCAACCTACTATTAAAGTTTTAATAGTCTGCTTTGATAACTTATTGAGTGTTGTTTCTTTTTGACTAATCTGCTAAATGTGTGATTTCAATTTTTCCAATTCAAGGCAAGAACTGATATTGTTAGTTGATTATATATCACTAATAAATACATAAATTAATTAAATAATGCATGTTATCTATATATTTTAACTTCTATAATGCGGATTAATTGGCTATTTCTATTGAATCTAGATTTTAAATTTCCGGAGGTGGCATGCCCGATGACCCTCCTATGTGCCTCGTGACCTGCGGGCACTCGGATGCAAATCACACACCTCAGCAAGCCAAGGCGTGTGATTTTTCACTCGCCTGCCTTTTTCAAAACACAAGGACTGAACCCGCTATATTATTATTGTTATTATTATTAAATCTTTATTGCATGTAATTAAGATACAAATACATGTACTGACGACAGTTCTTTTCATGGAGAAAAAATCTGATAAAAGCAATAGTGTTGAGTAGTTAAAATGATAAAATTTCGGACTGATACAGTACAATACAATGCTATACAACGTGAATATGATCCGGGGATGTCACGCTGTGAAATTTTTGATGAGGAAAACTTCGGCTGCATTAAGAGAGACAGAGCGAGCTGGATGTTAGTGTCTCTAAAGTCAGTAGACCTATCATGTCCAGAACCACCCAGAGAAAAACGTATCTGTATTTCAGAAAGAATGAGAGCTGGATGTTAGTGCATCTAAAGTCGGTAGACTTGTCATGTCCAGAACCACCCAGAGAAAAACTTTCTGCTACGTATTTGTATTTCGGAAATAATGAGAGCGAGCTGTTAGTGTCTCTAAAGTCGGTAGACTTGGCATGTCCAGAACCACCCAGAGAAAAACCTTCGGCTACGTATCTGTATTTCGGAAAGAATGAGAGCGAGATGTTAGTGTCTCTAAAGTCAGTAGACCTGTCATGTCCAGAACCACCCAGAGAAAAACTTTCGGCTACGTATCTGTATTTCGGAAATAATGAGAGCGAGATGTGAGTGAGTGTAAAATCAGTAGACTTGTCCTGTCCAGAATTGCCTCGGCGTGCTTGGAGTGTAATGCGGCCATTTTTTTATTATTTCAGGCATCTTAAAGACATAGTTTTACTCACAGCCATAATGCAAATGTTGACGTTGTTGTCAAACTACTTCTGGCTGATATGGTTACTGGTGAGTACGTTATTAAAACCGTTTTCTCGATATTCATAAACTTTTAACTGTTTTAGTGGTGTCTTGGAGTAACTTCACATCGGATTTCATGAAGGTATAACAATAAATTGTTTTCTAATGTAATCTATTATATTTTGCCTGTTGGAAAGAGTTTTGTCAACTGGTGTAGTTGTCTTTGTCAGACTCTTGTCACCTGCCATCATCGGGTGACGATCTCCAGTAACTTCATTCAGATTGAGAATAGCAACCAACTAGGCTTATTATCGAAACTGTTGCTAATAGGTTAACTGAATGGATTCATGGTGAAATAACTTGACTCGTCTAGCAACGTTCGGTAATGGGTAGTTATGATGCAACCTATTAGCCAGCGAGCCGTGCAGCCGTGATTTACACGGTCAGTTTTGAAACTGCACGGCCAAAAATGTGTAGCACGGCCTAAAATATTGATCTAAAGATACACATACAAAAAAATTGCACTCCCAAATATTTTTTCTGCATTCCCACAATACCCATCCCTGGCTAATACCTGTTATGACGTAGAGAGAACCTAAGTATGTTTGTGCGTAATCGCATTATAAATCGTCGTCTTGGTCTGTCTGTTCCAGGTGCCGTTTCGAGGTTTCCACCTGCTGTGGGTGAACGTGCTCGGACCGTGGTTCTTTGCACCGGCTCCGGAAGAAGAGATCAGCGACAAGAAACAGAAGAAGCTGGACAGAAAGATGAAGCGGCGCCAATGAAGCGAAGCATCTGCATCGGTCGTGCGTCGGAATGCGAACGTCTGCATCAGACGGTTAACCGCAGCTGCGCACGTTGCTCTGGTAGTCAGAAAGCTTATTTGCTGGTACCATGAACGTATCTATGCAGTGCGTAGTCGTGTTCTTCGCCCGGTACACTATCGAGGGCAAGTTTGTTTGGTGTAGGTTCCGTTTGGTGAAGGTCGTTTGATTGTGATCTGCGTGTACACGTGCAATATCTCTTCTTACCGGTGAGATATTGTCTTCGCCTAGCAGAATGCGAGTCAGAGAACTGTGTTGGTGACCCGGCCGATCAAATTATTGATTGCGGAAACCCTGGTCAAAAGTTAAATCGAATAAACGTGACCCAATGGTGATACACCTGTTGTGCTGCCATCTGTTGTCAAATAAAAGTGGGAATTCATAAAATGTTTCTGAGATTAGTTTGCACGGGTGAGTAAAGGAAGAAATAATTTGGTTTTAGGATCTTCTTTGAGAGACAATGTACGATTGTAATTGTTACTACAAATTGCATTCCAGATGCACATATCATTGGATGGTTACCTGCGCATTGATTTATAGCAAAAAATTGTGTATGCCACTATAATAACCTAATTTATAAATTTTATGTCAGGTTTGTTGTAAACAATTCTTGAACTGTGGTGTTTGTTATAATAAATTTTGTTACAGAATGTTTCTGTGTTATAGTTCTGTGTTATTAATAGTTCTTCACATATGTGTGCCTCTGTTATAGTTACAGCTAGTGTACTGCGCACACGATTTTAGCCAACTCGGGTCGTAGATATCATATCCACACGTGTAAATATCCAGTAAGTATGATATCAATGGTTCAAGTTTATTTTTAGGTCTCAGGTGAAATATAATGATTCGCTAGAGGAACCACCATTCAATGACATAAGGAAATGGTGTGTTGAATTTAGAGTCCTTTTATAGAGGAGATACAAGAGATAGGAGATTTTAAGAATCTAATGTAAGCAAGTATGACCTGCCACCTAGTGTCAGAAATGATTATAAAGCGCGCATATATAAATAACACGCATAATGAATCACTTGGACTTTCGTCACGCCGTGACGGGCTTCTCTCTCGCGAAATATATCACGGTCAGTGTACACGTGGCCCGAAGCGTCCCCGACATGTTCTCTCTGTGTTTTAGTCGTCAAAGATTCGAGCTGTGACAACTTTGAATGCGCATATTTATTATAACTAACGTAAGTTAGTATTGCGTGTGCGTTATTTGTTAGGTCCTAGCTTACGTTTATAATTTACAGAAATTTTTGCTCAGCCGTAGCATCTGTCGTTGCTATGATTTATAATTCATTCTTGNGTGTGTGTGTGTGTGTGTGTGTGTGTGTGTGTGTGTGTGTTGTGTTGTGTTGTGTGTTGTGTGTTGTGTGTGTGTTGTGTTGTGTGTGTGTGTGTGTGTGTGTGGTGTTAGGTCCTAGCTTACGTTTACGTTTATAATTTACATGCATTTTTTGCTCAGCCGTAGCATCTGTGGTTGCTATGATTTATAATTCATTCTTGTCATTCACTCGTTTAATTGAGGTTTTTTACGAAATTCTTATGAAAACCCGGTTACGAAAAATGAACTTGGAATTTTAACGTGTATATATATATATTAGAAGAATAAACAATTGTCATCCCTATCACTAACCCTAATCCTATCACTAAGCGTGAGAAGGCGAGCGCATGCGAGCGGGAGAGAGCGCACGCCAGCGAGATTGAGAGAGGAGCAGATAGGGCGGGAGAGAGTGGGAGAGATACACATTAGTGAGATAGAGAGGAGAGAAACAGGGAGACGAAGAGAGAGGGGAGGGAGTGAGAAATAAAGAGAGAGAAAAAGAGAGAAACAGGGAGACGAAGAGAGAGAGAGGGGAGGGAGGGAGAAATGAAGAGAGAGAAGAAGAGAGAAACAATACACAAGCGTGAGACAGAGAGAAGAGATGGAGAGAGAGAGATAGTTAAACGAAACAGATGGAGGGGAGAAAAGGCGAAGGTAAGAATGAGCATTAGAGAGAGAGAGAGAGAGAGAGAGAGAGAGAGAGAGAGAGAGAGAGA